AATCTCATATTTAGATTTCCAGGAGCTCAGTCACAGAAGGTACTGAAAATTCAGGTTCCAATTTCTCAGAGCATCCAAGCACATGTGTGTAACTATAAGCACATAAATAGTCACACTGGCTTCAGAGAGTTGTACTCATGTGAAGAAAGTTAAATATACATTCATATGCTTCATTGGATCAGAAATGAAATGCTCAGCAATTTGACAGGCCTCTGGGTACCAAAATACTCACGTAAATAATCTGTTTCTATTTGTGCACAGTAATAGAATGCAGGGCTCTCGGTAAATGTCTGTGTTTAGAAAGTGGACTTGTCTCACCTAAAGGCATATATTTTAATAAGTTCCATGGAGAACAGATCTGTAGTTTTCAGTCAGTGTTTTGACAAATTTAATTATGCTGTTAATTATTCACTGATGTCTTTACGTACCTACTTAAATACAGCTTTTAAACTTATAGCATGTTAACTAGTCACACCAATATATTGAATTTATGTAGGAAAGTACAGACTTGTACAAATTAAATAAAGTAGGAGGATAAGGAAAAAATATATTTTGCCTATATAAACACTGAATGCCAAATCTGCAACAGAAGATAAACAGATCTCTGTTCAGTAGAACATTAGCTGCTACCTCTTTCTGCTTCTCCCCATAGCAATACCAACTAAAAGCATTAAATATTGTTGAATGTCATTATTTCACTTAAAAAAGGTATAATTGCATGTACCTTTGCATATCAACAAAGGACAGAAGCACTTTTTATAGTTGCATACTATATAGTTCATTAACCATAGTAAAAAAAAAAAAAGACACTTTATGAGATGGTCCTGTTTTTGGACCAGGATTCAAAGAATTAAAAGGACATGGGAACAAGAAAATATTTACGACATACCAAAAACAAAAAAAGGATCTGGACTATTTCAGGCCATCTTTCTTCATTTCAAAGCAGGCATTCTCATTTCTTCTACTGTTTTGAATCTGTAACAAGTTCTCTTGCACACTCTTAGGAATATGAATTATGGGATGTGGTAGTCAGAGAACTGTTAGAAAATATTTTTGTGCAATGATGTCTTAAATCAAAAATAAAGCAGTATACTTAATTTGTTGATTACTTGTTCAACCCAATGGCTTCAATTTGACATTCCTTCTAGAGAGGGTTCCCCTACCTGCCATTTGTTATAACTTTACAGCTGAACCTTCTTTTTTCCCAACAGACTTTACCCACTGTAGGAGTTTTGCTCCCTGAGGTGCGTAAGACAGAGGTGCCCACGTATAAACAAGTATAAAAGGGTCATGATATTGCAACATTTCTCTTGCAATACAGTGCGTTTTGGGGCTGACTGTGGTGGTGGTGTTTTGTATCATCACTTGAGATGTGCTATTTCAGTTTTTAGGGGGTAGGAGCACCTTTTACAAAGTGCTTCTTGGTATGAAACAGTGATCCCCTGGAACAGTATTCATTGGTATAAGTTCCATCCAATCTAGCAACCAGTGGCTAATGGCTACAAAGTGGGAACAGTGAAAGTGGAAAATACGGATGTGAAAAGTGAGAAAACAGATGGGATTAGAAGACCCTTTTTGTTTGACAAGTGTTGTTTGGGATTGTTATCAGCCTGACAAATGATTAAAACACAGAAGAGATTGATTCCCTAAGCCATCAAAATGTACAACAACTTTTCAAAATTTGTATTAATTCTCCCTCAACTTCAGCCACGTCCATCAAACAAAATGATTTACAGCCATTTGTCAGTCATTTTGTACACTTTAATAAAAAAAAGCCATTAAATAGAGCATGTTCATAGTATGTTTACCACCTTGAAAATAAATGCTGGCATTTTGCCATTTCATTTATTTTCAATAAGTGTTAACTTTGGCTCAATATTAATTTAAAAGTTATACACTATTATCCAAAGGTGATTTTATTAAATTATGTTATCTTTTGAGAAAATGATGCTTTTTCATTTCTGATTAAGTCTTAAATATCATAGTACTGTCCCAACTCTTAGAAGTATGAATGCATCTATTTCTAATTAGAAAAATAACTTTTGCCCAGATTTCATTTGTTGAAGGTCTACAAAATATCAAGTGAGAGGGGTTCTGAAAATAGATATTTGCCCCATACACTGTAAATCTTTTTTTCTATTAAAGTTAAATAAGTAAATAATCAAGGTATAGGCCTAGGTAGAAATACATATGCATTTTAAACCTAACTGTAGTTAGTGCAGTGCCCATCAAAGACCTGTTGCTATCCACAGAAGCATGCCACTGAAGCTGGACATCTCTTACCGGCCTTAGAAAACACTACAAAGAAGGCACTTTTGCTTAGACTTCAACATCACATACTTTATTCACCTTAGATAAATGACAGACTGCTGAGTATAGCCCATGTATGTATACACAAGGTCAAAATAAGGAGATTCATTCTAGGCTCTCTATGTTATGTAGCCCCTTAAGGTTCCATCCTTGAACTCTGTACCAGCAATGTGAGCCTATTCACATTTGGAAAAGTGAAGGTAGGTACCTTATGGTAGAGAAATTGTGTTTTCGTTCTGTATATTTTAGACTTGCAGCTGGCATTACTAGCATTATTCATCTCCATTTCTGAAGCAAATTTTAAATTCTCTGTAGCTGTTCCTTGTACAAAAGACCTGTAGAAATCACTGTAAAAAGCTATTGTCATAATGGGTTATAATGTCCATTCTATGGGTTTCCACCGTAGCCTATAAAATTGTATTGCCAGGTTATCATTTTTCCTTTATATTCTGTAAGATGGTTCAGATATAATATAGAAAACTGATTGATTTCTGTTAAGTTCTAGGAATTTTCTGTTTCCTGTGCAAGGAGAAACTTTATAGCATGATTGCTTTGGAAGCCACCTTGTTCAGTTAGGCAAGTAGTAGTCTAGCTTAGAAAACAACTAATAAAAACTGAATGAAGGAAGGAAAAGGATGTGCCAGCCATATTGCCAACTGAAGGGTTGTGCTGCTATCTGTCTCATGCTGGGACAAAAACCCAACTGTGCTTGAAGTAATCATCACTTGCTGCTTCGAGTTCAGGAATGATCAATAACTGTAGGTTTGGTCATTGTGGTAAACATCCCTTTTGTTAAAAAAGCTTTCCTCAGTGTATAAATACTTTTCCAATGAGAAACAGCATGATGAAAAAAATAATTTTAACAATACACATTAGGAATAAGCCTATTTTTAATATGTATTCTCTTTTAAAATTAATTTTCCCTATGTTATGCATTTCCCTTTCAGTAATCTTCAAGCCTCTGGAATTATTATACAGTATGTTGCACAGGCCTAGTGGCACAAAGTATCCTGAATGCCAGCTTAATTGGCCTCTAGAGGATTCTTGTAGTGTAGGGAGAATATCCAGTTAGAATAGAGTATCAGATCTGTTCTGTGCCTCATAGCTATGATTGGAAATGTGGTCAGATTTCTTACTGTGTCCAGCAATCCCAGGCTAGTGGAAAGATCACAAGCAGCTAGGCCTAACGAGAGCACAGCTTGTACCAGGGCCAAGCCATCTCGTGTGCAACCCCAAATTTGGGAAAATGCAAGGATGGCATTAAAATCAACAATTAGGTAATGTTAATGAAGCACATCCAACATTGGTTCTCTGATTTTAAGCGATCATTATTTTACAATACATTGTATGAATTTGTGAAAAAGAATTGATGGGTGCATGTTATCTGTAGGAAAATAAATGAGATACTTTTGTATCTCCTGATTTCTTCCTCATTTTTAATTATCTGTGAGATGAACTGATAAATAGTTGGAAATCTAAATGCCACAATATTTCTGTTAAGAAGATTAGTATTTTCTTTATTTTATTCTCATTTGATGTTTAGTTATCCAACTTCTTATGAACCTGATGTAGATTAGCAACATACTGTGCTCTCTTTATACTATGTTTGTATTACAAAATAGTATATTTTTTGTAAAACGGTTAAAAATATGTGTTTTAAATATAGTAAGTTGATTGACAGACTTCTAGCATGGGTATATTTTGATAAGTAACTAATAAAAGTACTCTTGAAAATGTCCAACTTATGTCTGAAGTTACAACCAGTCTTCCAGAAATTATTGATCTATCCTAAACTTTTCTTTTAATGACTCTATTTATTTATTTATTTATTTACATAGGATTCTGGCTGAAAACCATACTCCTGAAGGCATACAACCATAATATAAATTTAAATAAAAATAACAGAAATGCAAATATAATAATAAAATAGGGCCAATCATTATAAAAGCATTATTCCTTCTCCTATAATTAATATAATCAAGTACAAATATAGTGATAAATCTGATCATGAATCTATAAAAATATTGTGCATAGGTCCGCAATTAACACAGTAAAAAACAAATGTAGTGATAAAGTTTATCGGTCATATCAACAGTAAAGCATGTTTAGCTCTGATTGCTTCAGCCTTGTAAGCAAAAATTGCAAGACAGTTTAGTAAATATGGATCTGTTTGCTGAAGGAGCCGTATTCATTTCTCTCTATTTGAGAAGTATGTCAGTTTTTGCAAGAATGGTGATAAATACTTTTTCCTTATGTCATTATATAAAGGACATTTTAAAACATAATAAATAGTGTCTTCCCAAACTCCTAAACAGGCTGGACAACATCTTTTAGCCCTTGGAACTTTTAATGACTGAGGATTTTGTATGATTAGCTTCCATGTTATAGAACCAATGTTTGTTAGATGGAGATAATATGCAGTTCCATTATCTTTCACATCATTGCATTGATTTTTGTTATGATTGGATTGTTATCACCTATCTATTGCCTAGCTAAATATATCTAGGCATATAAATAGATGCCTTGTGAAGTGGACAAAAATCATGTAGCAACTAGGTCTCATTTTCATTAAAGTAGGATCTGACCTTTATTTTGAATGGAAAATGTAATGCTTGGGGTGACTTCCAGCTATGGTAACATTCCATCACATCCTACGTTAAAGTGTTCTTTTTCCCCACTTCTTCCCCTAGGAGCGGCAGGCAACTGTGAAAAGAGAAAAGAGTTGCCCTCAGCAAATGAACAAGTTGGGAGAACGGAACAAAATGCAAAGAGCAAACTCTGTTACAATAGATGGACAAGGTCTTCAGGTGTGATTGTTGTTATTTTCATGTTTTTCCATGGGTATTTATATGCTTAGAGAAGAAAGTGGAGTGGTCAGTTTTAAAAAGGATCTATTTCAAATGGACATTTTCCTCTGATATTATACTCTAAAAGTTCTGAAAAACATTTATTACAATAAGGTAAATGTTTCCTTCTCCAAAGGGTATTATCTGTGGTGTATTTTTAATGTTTGGTCTCTGTTACCTATTATGAGGCATGTAGGTCATGTTGAAATGTCACTTGTTTAGTCATAAAAAGCATTAGTTGCAGGCTGAAATATGACTTGATCACCTTAATAGATGTCATGCCCCACATCACAAGCTTATTTTGTAAATTCTAATGTTTGACTTCAGTCATAGTTGCATCTTCTCATTTTGTACGTTTAAGGAAAACCTCGAGAGATTTAACTTTAAGGCCTTTATGTATCCACAATTTACTTCTTGGATATTTAGCTAATTGCAAAGAGTGTTGCTTAGAGAGATGATGAAGCAGTGTTGGTTGTACCAGATACATATATATTTAAAAAAAAGAGGATGTCTTCAATTTCAAAAATCAATCCATTTATGTGCATCTTACTGACTAAACATTAGTGTGGGATGGGAATGTATATTCATCATCAGCAGTCCTTATTTGTGGGTCCAAAGATGGCTGTCAAAGCCTATATGCAATTGACACTGTTGCAGCTCAGGCATGTTTCCATGCAGATTCTGGGTTCTTGGTTCGGTCCACAACGTGCTGTTTCTTCCACTCCCATTTTTCTGTCTCCTGTTGTTATCATAAGGTTGAAAAGTACTGAGATCCTTGTGTAGCAGACTCTTCCTCCATTTAGGGCAGTACTGACAGTCTCTGAGGAACTGATATCGATATTGCATTTTTTCAAGTTGGGTTTGAAGAAGCACTTACTCAGCCCTTTTGAGTGTATGCCTTGACTGATCTGGGAGACTAAAACTTGCTTCAGGAGTCATGAGTCAGTCATCTAAATGACATGGCCAGCCCACTGAAGTTGATGTTGCATGATCATCATCTTGATGCTCATGGTGTTTGCTTGCAAGAGGATGCTAATGTGGGTGGATCTGTGTCCTCATGGTCCCTTCCTGCTCTAATGTCCATGAAATCTATGAAATCTTCTGCAACTTGGTACTTCTCGAGCAGTTTGAGGTGTCTCCTATATGCTGTCCATTTTTCAGCTCTGTGCAGTAGGGAGGGGATTAGAACTGCTTGATAAACCATGAGCTTGGTTTCAGATCTGATGTCATGATCTTCAAGCACTCATTTCCTCAGGTGTCTGAAGGCTGCACTTGTCCATTTGAGGTGATGTTTGACTTCTTCATCATGGTAACCTTCTGCGAGAGATGTCTTCCAAGATATGGGAAATAATCACTGTTCTCCAGAGTCTTACTATGGATTTGAAGTACTGGAGCTGGAGACTGCTCATTAAGAGTTTGGGGGACCTTAGTCTTCTGAATGTTAAACATCAGTCCCATCTTCTTGTATGCCTCAGTAGATGCATTGACGCGTGCCTGATGGTCTGGTTCTGAATGAGCATACACTACAGCATCATCAGCATACTGGAGCTTGATGATTAAGGTTGGAGTAGTCTTGGTTTTTGCTCAGAGTATGCTGAAATTAAACAGTTTATCATCTATTTGGTTAGCTCCATTCCAGCTCCATTCCAGCTAGAACTGGAACTGGGGGGGGGGTAAGAAAAAAAGTTTGGGTGGTAAAGGCGAATCAGCTGTAATGGAATACATGTATGGACAGCACACCTCAGAGCATTCTAGTTACTATTGCAAACAACTTTTCTTTTTTAGGTAGTTATAAGATTTACTGTACATTTTTAGTATAAGTTTACATTGGTCTTTAGTGCTGTCTACCGGTTCTGTGGCTGATCCAAATATGAGGAGATATAGGTAAAGGGAAGTGTATTATGTCCAGAAGTGCACTATGTATTTCCAAACTTTGATGCTTGCTCAAGATGTCTGTAGTGCCTTGATGAGGGACCATTGTTAGAATCAGAGAAAATTAGGGTTGGAAGGGACCTCAGGAGGTCACCTAGTCCAACCTGCTGCTCAAACAGCACTATCCCTAACTAGATCATCCTAGCCTTGTCTAGCTGGGTCTTAAAAACCTCCAAGGATGGGGAGTCCACAACCTCTCTGGATAACCTGTTCTAGTGGTTTAGTACCCTCCCACTGAGAAAATTCCTCCTAATATCTAACCTGAACTTCCCTTGCTGCAACTTGAGACCATTGCACCTTTTTCTGTCATCTGTCACCACAAAGAACAATCTAGCTCCATCCTCTTTCAAACCTCCCTTTCAGGTAGTTGAAGGCTGCTATTAAATCCCCTCTCTGCCTTCTCTTCTCTAGACTAAATAAGGCCAGTTCCCTCAGCCTCTCCTCAGAAGTCATGAGCCCTAGCTCTCTCACCATTTTTGTTTCCCTCCAGTGGACTCAGTTTGTCCACATCCTTTCTGTAGTGGACGGGCCCAAAACTGAACACAGTACTCCAGATGTGGCCTCACCAGTGCTGAATAGATGGGAATAATCACTCCCCTTGACCTGCTGGCAACAATCCTACCAATGCAACCCAGTATGCCATTAGCCATCTTGGCAACAAGGGCATGTTGTTGGCTCATATGCAGCTTATTGTCCACTGTAATCCCCAGGTCCTTTTCTGCAGAGCTGCTACCCTGCCAGTCAACCCCCAGTCTGTACTGGTGCATGGGATTATTCTGTTCTAAGTGCAGAACTTTGCACTTGTCCTTGTTGAACTTCATGAGGTTTCTTTTGGCCCAGTCCCCTGATTTGTCAAGGTCACTCTGAATCTTAGCCCTACCCTTCAGCATATAGTACTCCCCCCCGCCCCCAGCTTGGTGTCATCAGCAAACTTGCTGAGGGTGAACTCTATGCCATCTTCCTGGCTGTTGATGAAGATATTGAACAAAACTGGCCCCAGGACCAACCTATGGGGCACTCTGCTTGATTCTGGCTGCCAACTGGACATTGAGCCGTTGATTACCACTCTCTGAGCCCAATGCTCCAGGGAGTTTTCTATCCACCTTACTGTCCATTCATCCAGCCTGTACTTCCTTAGCTTGCCTGCAAGAATGTTATGGGTGATGGTATCAAAAGCCTTGCTAAAATCAAGATAATATACCACATCCACTGATTTTCCCCCTGTTCCACAGAACCAGTCATCTCATCATAGAAGGCAATTGGATTGGTCAGGCATAACTTGCTCTTGGTGAATCCATGATGACTGTTTCTAGTCACCTTCTCCTCCAAGTACTTGGAAATGGATTCTTTGAGAATCTGCTCCATGATTTTTCCAGGGACTGAGGTGACACTGACCAGTCTGTAGTTCCCCAGATACTCCTTTTTCCCTTTCTTAAATATGGGCATTATTTTTGTCCCCTTCCAATCATCTGGGACCTCTCCCTATCTCCATGAGTTTTCTAAGATGGCTCTGTGATCACATCAGCTAACTACCTTAGCACCCTTGGGTGCATCCCATCTGGCCCCGTGGGCTTATATGTCCAGCTTTTCTAAATAGCCTCTAACCTGTTCTTTTGCCACTGTTGGCTACTCACCTCCTCCCAAACTGTGCTGCCAGGTGCACTACTCTTGGAGCTGATCTTGGCTGTTAAGTCTGAGCGGAAAAAGGCACTGAGCACTTCAGCCGTTTCTGCATCCTCTGTCAGTAGGTTGCCTGCTCCATTCAGTAAGGGATCCACACTTTCCCTGATATTCCTATTGTTACTGGCATACTTGTAGAAACCCTTCTTGTTACCCTTCACATCCCTTGCTAGCTGCAACTCCAGTGCCTTCTTGATTTCATCCGTGAAGGTCTGAGCAATGCTCTCATGCTCCTCCCTAGTTGTTTGTCCAAATTTCCACTTATACGTTTTCTTTTTGTTATTTAGATTACTGAAGAGTTCTCTTCTAAACCAAGCTGGTCTTCTGCCACTGCTGCCATACTTGATAGTCTTCCTGCACATCAGGATGGTTTGTTCCTGCACTCTCAGTAAGGCTTCTTTAAAGTACAGCTCTGGGCTCTTCTACCCCTCAGAGTGGCTTCTCAAGGGATCCTACCCATGAATTCCCTGAGTGAGTCAAAGTCTGCTTTTCTGAAGTCCAGGGTCCTTACTCTGCTGCTCTCCATCCTTCTGTTCCTCAGTATCCTGAACTTGATCATCTCATGGTCACTGGTGCCCAAGTTGCCATCTACTAGTGCATTCCCCACCAATTCTTCCTTATTTATGAGCAGCAAGTCAAGAAGGGCATGGCCATTGGTTGGCTGCTCCAGCACTTGCACCAGGATGCTGTTCCCAACACTCTCCAAAGATCCTTCAGGATGCTTGATCTATAAAACCTTAGTTCAAAGAAAAAAAACTTACTGATGGATAAAAGGGGCATTGCTGGTTAAATCCTAGTTGCATTTTGCAGGATTTTAGGTCTTTGCTTGAGAGAACATTTCCTGATGATGTTAAATACTAGAGGTGAAATCTATGGAAAGGTACAGAGAAAATCATCTGATATCATACTGTAGTGTTTGAAGCTCTGAGGCTTCATTGAAAGACATTAGAAATATGTTAAAACACAGAGTGCCTTCATTTTTTGATGATTGAACTGTGTCAGATGTACAGAAATCTAGTGGTTCTATCTACCAGCTGTTAACTGCAAAGTGATGTTGAAGTGAATATTGTTATTGGTGGGGCTGGTGAACACTCTTCAATGGCTTCTTTTTTTTTCTTTAGGAAGATCTGGAGAGTAGTTTGAATAATTATTCTTCTGCCCTAAGGGCTTTTGTAAAGAGTTCTGAATGGGTCTGTGGAAGAAATTCAGCCTTGTTTTATTTCATAAAGCACCATGCACATCTAACATATGAAGTCCATTCATAACAGTAATATCCAACCTTGATGGGATGGAAAATCTCTGTGAATTAGTCTATAGGAGACTGAAGTTATGTTAGTAGATCAGGGAAG